GAGAGGAAAGTAGAAGATTGTGCTGGAGCTCCATGCTTCTGGTCCACATGCTTAAAGAATACACTCCTCACCTTATGGGAATGGGCTGGGAGTTGCATATTTCCCGGCAAGAAAATGTCAGTTATACCTCCCAAGTTCATGATCAAAGCTGACACATCTTCAGTTTGCTATTCATTTTCCTGGATCGTACATTGAAGGAGGTCAAAAACAGAAGAACGGCCTCTGGGCACTCCATTGTCGCGCTGCTCTTCTTTGGAATGCATGTCATAAGCTTCGTCAACGTCCCGACTGGGAATTCCGTAGGACCGAGCTTCTAGGCAAAGCCTGGATAGAAGCGACTTGCATTGAAATTGAGCTTGCCAAGCGTACTGGACCAATGAGACAGGTGGCTCTTAATGCCGGACGAGAATACATTTTCCAGTACGTTGAAGAATATTTAGACATTATTCATTATTTGACATATCCCAAGTCTCAAGCTATTGATTTCCAATCAATTCACTAGACTTATGCCGTTTCCCCATACGTGAGATGAATATTACCATCTATAGATCATATCTGAAACCATCACTTTTTAGATTGCATTTCGATCGAGACAGTGCGAAGGAATGGCGTAAGTCCTTATATATCCCGCCACTTTGCTGATCTGATGGTTGTTCTAGTGGCTCATCGCGAGGAATTAGCTACCCATGTTCGTAAAACATTGTTCTTTGTGACAAGATTTGGAGCACCTGCTGCTTCATTGGCTTTCGCCAAGAGACCGTTGAGCGTCTGGTGGGCTATGTATCAAATCAACGCGTGAGCATCCTATTCTCCGGGGCTATTTCATTGATCTAATTCAACGAATTTGAAAAACTCAGGGGTATCATGGTCTGGAAATCGGATCCTTCGATGACTGTAGCATTAGAGCAATCACTCGAGTTTCTTGCCATGGTAGACTTTATGACTGAAATGTGGCAGTCAGAACGTAAGTAGACTGGAGGTGTAGTGGTAACTGTGCTTATCATCATTTCGTTTTAGCGCAACGGATATATTATGAGAAGATGCGGAACGAGTTGATCCAATGTTGTATGACTGCAGGTGTTCCTGTTCCTGCACCAGTGCCTATTCCTGGCCTTCAATCGCACCCCAATGCAACTATGATACCGTCACCTTTCCTCTCAAAGAAACCATCGCCTTCTGATATCCTAATGGCTCCTCTAGATTGAGTGCCTTTTGTTCATCCTCATCTCCATCCTATCTATCGTATATATGGGACTCGCCTGGTTCTTTCATACAGATACAATTTGCCTGTTTACATATCCGTTGTATTTTCTACACTCGATACATTCACTATAGCACCATTTTCCATTTGAATCAAGTTGTCGAGGTCATCTGATCATGGTCTTATATCATAAGTTGTGTCGTGCATCGTAACCCGAACTCGATCGACCTTTCGTTGTGAAGTTGAAGAAGGACTGCATGTTTGAATCATGTACCCAAAGTATGCCAAAGCGTCCTTCGGTTATTAATTTAGTTAAACCGGCTTTTGGTCTGTTCCTCTGACCTCTGACTCAATTCGCCTCTGGAATCGGCCCACTGCTTACTCAACCTCACGGCAAACATTACTCTACTCTGGGCTATTCCTGAAATTTGCCTAAATAATTCCATTCATTATGTCTCGTTCTCCTGCAACAAGTAATGATATTTTGGAAACGGTTGTGGGGAGCACTCCTCATGCTCAAGAGTTCCCATCTACTTCAAACAAACCAAAGTCGACAATGAAGGCACTTCCTAGCTCTGCAATTGCTTGTAGGCAATGGTGAGTTCCCGAGCTTGCCATAGTCCAACACGCGTTGAGGCGCGCAGCACATATATCTATCTGTGTGGTCCACACGATGACCGATATAACCATGTGATCCCATTTTCCTATTTTTGTCTATTCTAACCATATCCTCTAAACAGTCGCTCTAGAAAGGTCAAATGTGACTCGCAGCGTCCACAGTGCAAGAACTGTATCAGGAGGTCAGATCCTTGCGAGTATGACGCTGCTCAAAAGCGCCGTGGTCCGGACAAGCAACCTGGTACAAGACAAAGGTCATTCAAAAAGAGGCCTGAAGGGCTCGACCCCCTCAGCAGACGCCGACGAGAAGGAAAGCAGAAGGCGGAGACGACATTGGCCTCAGCAACAAACACTTTATCGGTCGACAAAGCCCTTGAACAACTTCAGGACGGGGGGATATGGATTAATGGGTTGTCCACGACTACTGTTTCCACCACTGATTGGCCGCAGGCTCTATGGAGCTCTAATGGTATAGCGAGCGGTGTTGACAGCTTCGATGCAGATACAACGACGCAAGGTTTTGGTTTCCCTTTGTTGGATGCACTTGTCCAAGTAACAGAACACGAGGTCCAGGGTATACCATTTTGCACTCCAGACCCCCAAAATCCCCCAGAATTATTTCATTCATTTTCGACACTAGACCCCGTCTTTTCGATGACAAATTTGATATATCATCCTCGAAGAATGGCACCAGTACAAAACGGTGGTACCATAGTACAGGTTTTGAATGCGTACGACTACGTTCCGAGAGGACCATCCCTTTCATTCAGTAAACAGACTTGGTGGGACACACTCCTCACACTGTACTCACACGATACCACTCAAGCGACGCAAAAGATATTCCAAGATCTCAGCTTCATGTTCGTACATAGATTTTGCCCATAGAGGTCGCTAATCAGGTCCATTAGTTTAAGTAGCTCCACCTACTGGCTTTCTCATATTCATTTCGGCCGATTTATGAGGGATTTATGCGACCCTGAACGTCGTTTGGGTATTCAGCCGTCACTTGTTTTAGCCATTCTCTCCGTGGCCACCCTGATGAAATCCTCCGAAGCTGGCCTAGGCATAGAGGGGCGTAAATTTGCGCTATGGCTTCGTGACGCCGCTCAAGCCTCTCTTGATGCCAGTGTGAACGCCTCATGGATCGATCCAAGCTTAGCGAGGGCAGCATTTGTGAGGGACAAAGTTTCCAGTATACAACCCATATACTGACCAACACAGCTCCTTACCATATTTGAGTCATGCAATCACCCACTATTTTCCCCTGCTCGTGCTACCTCTGCAGTATATCTTCTCGACTCGTTGATACAAGCAATGAACCTCACCACCCTTGACGCTCATGATCCGATGGTCCCACTATTTCCTGCCGACGAACTTCCAATCACTTCTACGGATCCTCTAGCCTTCCTCAATCAGAATGCGTCACAAGCCGCCATAATCTCCGCATGTCCCTGGCATGGTCTCGACGGCTGTCCAGCTTCCTGCTTAAATACGCCTGCCCTCTTGGAGAAGCTCTCACAAGAGATGCAGTCACAGGAAGACGAAGCTCAATTCCTTGATGACCTTAAGCAGCTCGAAGCTCATGGAGCAAACCACCTACAAAACAATACCTGGCTCACATTCCAATGGCCAGATGATGGGCTTGAGGTTCAAAGAGAAGAAATTCGAAGGTTATGTTGGAGCTCTATGCTGCTAGCTCATATGCTCAAGGAATATACTCCTCATTTGGAAGAAATGGATTGGGATCTTTATCTATCGAAACAGGAGACTGTAAGACAATTTCTTCCCCCAGAGAAATAGAAGTTAACGGTGTGTTTAGTTTGCCATCCACTTTCCGAGTGCATATAAAAACGGTGTCCGCGAGAGGATGGATGCTGTATGGCCCCTTCATTGTCGTATTGCACTTCTTTGGAACGCTTGCCATAAACTTCGTCGGCGACCTGATTGGGAGATTCGTCGTACTGAGCTACTGGGAAAAGCCTGGATAGAGGCAACTTGTATCGAGGCCGAGTTTGCCAAATGTTTAAGGCCAAAGAAGCGTTTGGCCCTCAATATTGGACGAGAATTTATATTTCAGTATGCCGAATGACCTTAACCCTCGAAAATTCCCCCATCTGATCTTCTCACCAGCCTCAAACTCTTGATCTCAAACCAATTCACAAGACAGATACCACTGCCTCATACGTATGTTCGATTTAATCATCTCATGTCTGGTGCTACTAGAAACTAAAATGAAATTTCAAGACTTCAATTTGACCGAGATAGTGCCAAGGAATGGTGTAGGCTACTTGCATTTTTGCCATCGAGATCATTATATCTGACTTTTATCTTCAGTGGAACATCGTAAAGAGTTAGCGA